ACACCAAAGTAAGTGTCGCACACGGATCCCAGAGGGTTGGGGTCCGTGTGCGACACTCCGCCTTTGAAGGGGTTGCACCTTCTGCAGACGAAGCAGTGGGTCTATTTATATCCCCCCGACCCACTGGGGGTAAATGTAGGCAGTCACTGCTATCACACAAGAAAAGAATGTATGCTGCTGAATTCCAAATGCAAACTCTGAAACTGTTAAAAACTTTGGGGGAATATGTGATTACAAGTGTTCTACAATCCTACAGCTAATACAACATTACAACTTTGAACATCGGCATAACCTGCAAATACTCCAACATTCATTCACATCTGAGGAAGCCTTTTCTGAGTGGAGAAAGAATGTAGAAAAAAACCCATTCACTCAGTTCTATAATAAACCTTGTGGTTCAACCATTAGTAATAAAGAAACCATTCCGTATCAAAGGACTTTTTACTGTCACAGGTCTGGGATACGTCCGCCATAAGAAGTTCGCAAGCGAGCACCAAAGTCTGTACGTCCATGCAGAATGGGAAGAAACTGTACAGCTTACACGACTGCTCGTAAAAACATAAAGGATGGGTCTGTCATGGTGGAATACTGTTTGCAACACACTGACCAGGATTTTAAACTGGGTCATCAAAAGATATCAGATGAGACGAGTATAAAAGAGACTATTCAAGCGCCAAATAATGCAGAAAACTGAGAATCAGCAGCATTCTAGGTTTAGAGCTGAGTGTTAAGCTGTGAGTCAGTCTCTTCAATCTTATTATTCTATTCCTAGTTCTAATGTTATTATTGTCTTGGAAGTTGTTTTTTTGCGATGAGGTATCCTGACAAAAAAATCCAGAGAAGACACCCCAAGGCATTACACTTTTTTCAACAAAAAGTGAACAGGATTTCTTTAATTCACTGTAGCCTTCCTACTGCTTCCTAGTTAGTCGCATGAAACGCATTGTGTGCTGCATGCTGTGTGTCGTGTGCCTTCCTATGGGAGGTCGGCCTTGGAGTTAAAGAGAAAATTGCACATCATGCTTTTTGGGGTGACTTCATTTCATCTCAAGTTACCCGTGAAGAAGGTGGTTTACACTTCGACAAGCTAATGGAAGCTATCACTGAACATTTTAACCCAAAAGTGAATAAGGACAAATAAACCAGCGGCACACAAAGAAGCACCCCCCCCCCAGTCCCACAGGGCATAACTTAAAAGGAAAACACTCCAACCAAACACCGCTCAAATGCCAATTTCGCAGCGAAGAGTTCAAATGTAGGCAGTCACTGCTATCACACAAGAAAAGAATGTATGCTGCTGAATTTCAAATGCAAACACAGAAACTGGTAAAAACTGTTGTGGAATATATGTGATTACAAGTGTTCTACTATTCAACAGCTAATACAACATTACAACTTTGAACATCAGCATACCCTCCAAATAGTCCAAGGTACATTCACATCTGAGGAAGACTTTTCTGAGTGGAGAAAGAATGTAGAAAAAGAAACATTCACCCAGTTCTATAAAAAAAAACAACCTTGTGGTTCAACCATTGCCATTAGTAATAAAAAAAACATTCAGTATCAAGGACTTTTTACTGGCAAAGGTCTACCATTAGAAGTTCACAAGTGACCACCAAAGTCTATAGGTCCATGTAAAATGGGAAGAAACTGTACAGCTTACACGACTTCTCGTAAAAACATACAAGATGGGTCTCTCATGGTGGAATACTGTTCGCAACACACTGGCCACGACTTTAAACTGGGAAATCTAAAGACATAAGATGTCAGATGAAACGAGGGCACACGTTGCAGGGAAACTTAATCAAGGCCTTGAGCCTAATGAGTTACTTTGTGACCTCCGAGAAAATATGACTGTCATTAACAGAGACAGTCTTATGAGACCAAAAGACTTACACAACATCCAAAAACAGTTTAATATATCCTGCACCGAAAAGCACAGAGATGACAAGACAAGTTTGCGGATACCACAGGAAGTGATGACACCACATGACTAGATATAGCAGGCTATCAGGCAGGTGCGTCGTTCTGCGTTTAGCCCAATGTGATAGGAGGGAAAGGGAGAACGCAGGACCAAATAAAAAAGAAGTGGAAAGACTTGAAAAGTTAAGTTCTCTGAAAAAAAACACCAAAGAAAACAAGAGGCATCACAAACAGGGGGAGGTTCTAGTTTGTATACAGATTTTCTAGATATATAGATTACAAAGATCAACAATAAAGTTAAAGATCTAGATTGATAGATCTAAGCTTACTCCCTTTCTTTTTTTACTATAATGCAAATATCAACTCATTAGCGCGAAACTTTTGGGAACTCTTCATAACCCGAGACAGTACACTCAGGCTACTGCTAGAATGGAAGTGAAGCATGGGGCTAGTCGTGATTACCTGTCCCCGTCGTTTTATGCAATAAAAATTATGAAATTATGCAAACTGAGCCCAAAAATTTGAAATTATGCGATTCTGGGTTTTTTAACTCATTCCCTCCGCTAAGCCGACCAGTCGGCTATGGAAACTTCCTATCTCGACACCTAGCCGACTGGTCGGCTATCAGCATTGGTGAATCAAAAGTGCGAAGTTTTCCAAACCAACTTTCTCAATGAATTATCCATGTTTCCGAAACGGAAGTAGGATAAGAATAAAGATAAAGAAACCTTTCAAGAAGGCGTTTTGGCGGTGTTTTCGTGTTGTTTTGAGCGTGCGAAGTCAGTTCGAATTGTTTTGTGAATTTCACCAGCGAAATGGCTGCCGGCGGAGATGAAGCAGGCCCTAGTTCGGGAAGGCGACAACGTTTTACTGCCCAACAAGCCCTTGGTTTGTTCCAAACTCTTGCCAGTGATGACAACTTAGCGAGAGAAAGTGAAGTAGAATTTAGTGATGGTGGTTCTGACAGTGATGGCGAGCGGAATGCGATGAACTTTGAGTCTGATAGTGATAGCTCTAGTGACACTGAAGGATCAGCTGCTCGGCCACGCCCACAAACTCACATTGTAAACAATGCAGCAACTGACTGGGTTGAAATCTCGCAAAATCTAGGACTAGATCTAACCCCACTTCACCTACAGAATATTCTTACAACAAGAAACGAGTTTGGAGATCCCCTTCCCCCTAGATCTAACCGAAGACAAGTGCCAGGGGTGAACGCAAACCTTGACCAGTCATCCAGTCCTCTGGACTGTTTGAAAGTAATCCTCACACAGGACATTATTGAAGATCTTGTCAAGTCTACAAATGAGTATGCCGAGAAAAGGTGCATGCCACATAGGCCTTCAATAAGAAAACGGTCGGTTTACCATACTTGGGAGAAAGTGTCGGAGTACGAGATGGTGAAGTTTTTCTGTGTGCTCATAGCTATGGGCCTTGAAGTTAGACCTAGTGTTCGCGACTACTGGTCAACAGAAGAAATCATGTATAATGCTTTCTATCACACCATGTTTCGAAGAGAACGATTCGAAAGCATTTACCACACCATGCTTCACTGCTCTGATCCAGACAGTGAGAACAAACACAAAATCGAACCGCTGATTGATGCTGTCATGGAGGCCTCCAGAGAAGCATTCTACTCGTTTCAAAATTTGTCTATAGATGAAATGGTCGTGGGTTTTACTGGACGATGGAAGTTCAAACAGTACAATCCATCGAAACCCAAAAAGTATCATATCAAGACGTTTGGACTGGTCGACTCCACTACGGGCTTTGTCTTACGTGTTTTCCCTTACTTTGGGAGAGATACGTCCTACAACCCTGAACTGGATCATGACTCTGGAATGGCCATCAAAGTTTTTGATACGCTCCTGACAGATGTTGGAACTGGTCATCATATTTTTGCTGACAGGTAAGTAGCAGTATTGCACTTGTACTAGATCTAGTAGTAACATCAAATAATTGTCACTATTGTGTCTGTGTCAGCTAGATCTACCTGTAAAATCCAGATAAAGTTCACTGCTCTTCTTAAAAAAAATATTTTTTTTTTTCCAATTATTTATTAGCCTCTAGATCTAGATCTAGATCTATGTAATATTGATTCATAGTCAGTGTCCGTTATCTTTTCACCACTTTTAGAATTGATATTACAGCTCTGTTGTTGCTGCATTGATGAGTGTGTGACTGTGAGAATGAGTAAGCCTGTGCATATTTGAGTGTTGTTTTCTTTGATGCCCAGTGTGATCTTGTACGCTGTTTTTCGTGCCATAAATAAATCTACTTTATGGGATAACTAATATTTTCTCCCTTTTTTTCTTAGGTATTACACGACAGAAGCCCTGGTCAGGTACCTTTCAGGCCGTTCGTTGTACTACACTGGTACTCTGAATCTGAACAGGAAAAATTTCCCACCTCAGCTGAAAAACATCAAAACGATGAAGCACATGGAGGCAAAGCACTACCTGAGGAATGACGAATCCATGCTCATCACAGCGTGGAAGGACAAAAAGGCTAAAAAGCCTTGTGTTCTTGTGTCAACCAAAGCAGACACATCCTTCCTCACCAATGCAAGGAACAAGACAAAGCCAGCAGTTGTGAACAACTACAACATGTCCATGGGTGGCTGCGACAAAGTCGATCAAAGGGTCACATACTATAGCAACACCGACCGAAAGTCATACAAATGGTGGAAAAAGCTGTTTTTTTGGATTTTCGAAATAGCGCAGAACAATGCGTTTGTCCTCTATGCTCTTACGAGAGAACAGGGGACAGCAAAGATGAGCATGAAAGCTTTCAAGCTGAAGCTCCTGAAGCAGCTTCAAGACAAGGCAGCGACATTGATGCCTGCAGAAGAGGTCGAGAACCACACCCCAAAAAGGAAAAAGCCCAGAGAGACCAACCCTGTTGATCGTTTTCAGGGCTCCAAACACCTGATCCAGTGGACAGGAAAAGACAGGGACTGTGTGTATTGTAGTGAGCAGAGTAAGGGCAAGCGCAAAAGAACAACGTTTATTTGTTCAGGATGTGAAAATCGGCCTTACCTCTGTGCGAAGATCTGCTTCGAGAGGTATCATCAAAGGCCCTGATTTGCCTCCCCTCTCCTCTTCCCCCTTCATTTTTCTATTTTTGTGTAGTTGTAATGGTGTATAGTGGATATTGTGTGTTTTGTGGTTCTTTCATGAACGTCTGTGTTTTTCTGCAAAAAATTCATAAAAAATGTAGGATATTTTCGCTATGCGGTGTCATCATGGGACCTCTCTGAACTGCAAATGACTCTTGACTGTGGCAAAATGGAGTTTACCTGTGATTCACAATTGGATTACCTCTCTGGATTACCTCTTTTCGATTATATGAAGTGGACATTTCATCACTTATGACTTGGTGAGTGCAAAATGTATGTTGTTGTCAGTTCATCTTTTCTCGTCTCACAGTTCACTATACACGCCCTATCTCTGAACACAATCATCATACTGCCTATCTGTCGATTTCATATAATAGTCCATTCAATTCCCTGCAAATTGATATATGACATGTTATACTTTATCCTGTAAACATGGATGTGAAAGGGGATTTTCCGACCCACCGTTGTGTTCTTGTCGCGACCCTCAAAATATCTGCGTCCAAACTAAGAAAATTGCGCGGAGTGAAAGAGTTAAACAAAGAATGATAAAGGAAAATAATCAGAAATTATGCAAAAAATTATCAAATTTTGCTAAATTATGCAGGGTGAATAAAACCATGGGGACA